ATCCCCACTACTCCCTACCCCCAGCCCCACTACCCTTCCCAGCTTCTGGTAACCATCATTCTACCCTCTATCTCTATGAAGAACTTTATTTCTTTTCCTTTTTTTAAAAAAGACACATTCTTGCTTTCTCACCCAGGCTGGAGTGAGTGCAGGGGTGCAATCACAGCTCACTGCAGTCTCCAACTCCTGGGCTCAAGGGATCTTCCTGCCTCAGCCTCCTTAGTAGCTGAGACTAGAGGCATGCACCACCACTCCCAACTGAAGGACTTTATTTCTTAAAGTTCCTTATTTTTCTCAGATGACAAGAAATCTGGAGATGTGCTGCAATGGGTAATGTTAGTCTAGCTGCTCAACAAGATTGCCAAGGACCCCTTCCCTTCTATCTTTTGCTTCCCCATCCTTAGCATGTGGCTTTTATCCTCATAGCTGCAAAAGTTTTCCAGCGGCTCCAGACATCACTGCTTTATTCCCAGCAGGAAGTAGAAAGTGGGGTAAAAGAGTGAAGCATGAAGGGGTTTCTCCTGAAAACACTGATCCATTTGTTTGGAGAAGAACCTTTCACTGCAACATCAGCCTATATCTTCTTTGTCAGAAATGGGGACATCTGATCACTCATAGATGAATCACTTGCCAATGAGAATAATATTACCTGATGGGATTAGACTGTTTTTTTTTTTTTTTGAGATGGAGTCTTACTTATTGCCCAGGCTGGAGTGCAGTGGCATGATCTTGGCTCACTGCAATCTCTGCCTCCTGGGTTGAAGTGATTCTCCCACCTCAGCCTCCCAAGTAGCTGGGATTACCGGTGTGCATCATCATGCCCGGCTAATTTTTGTAGATTTAGTAGAGACGGGTTTTCACTATGTTGGCCAAGCTGGTCTCCAACTCCTGACCTCAGGTAATCTGCCCACCTTGGCCTCCCAAAGTGCTGGGATTACAGGCATGAGCCACCACCATGCCCTGCCAGATCAATTGTTATTTTTCCTTTGGGGCTGGGGTAGAAACTCTCCTTTCCTAAAAGATGGAGATCTCTGCTGCAGCCTGAACAACTTGGGGTTCTGTGGTGAGGCAGGTGTGGAGGGAGTGGTAGTGCCTGCTGTAATGGCTACCCATTTTTTGTGTTGCTTTGTCTTTTCTCCTTGCTTAGCAGGATGGGTAATTCTCTTATCATTTATTTCTACCCACTATTAATTTGAAAGTCATAATTTTAAGGAGTGGTTACTTCTCTGTTTCTATCAGTCACAATTAAATCATTAAATCGTTGTTTCTTTACTACTATATTGCTTGTAACATACTTAAAAATAACAATGCCCTCCTATATACATTTGGAGAATTACTGCTGCCTTGCACATATAGAAAAACCTGAAATTTCAGTAGATCAATATGATGGTTTATTACTTAACTGTTTCACAGTTTGATGTGAGTTGGGTAGTTCTTCCGTGTGGCTTGCTTTCAAATATTGGCTCATGGATCAGGATGCCTTTTTTCTTGAAATTCCACTGTTTATTTCCAGCTGGGTGGACAAGAGTGAAAATGGGAAAAGGCACACCAGCTGCTAATGGCCTTAGCCTGAAAGTGGCACAAATCCCTTCCCTGACATTCCGTGGATTAGAATTCAGTCACATGGCCCCACAGAACTGAAGAGAAGCTGAGGAATGCAGTCATCTGTGGGCTCAGGAAGAGACATGGAGTGGTGAACATTGCATTGTTACTGTCCTAAATTGTCATTCTGGCCATCCACACGTTTCATTCTTCTCCTCCATCTAAAGTACACCACCACCTCTTATGGCGACACCTTCAGGTCCCAGCCAGTCACTGCATCCAGCTCGAAGTCCACTGTCTCCGGGGTTCTGCACTCGTCTCTATCAGGTCTGAACGTGCTGAGAAGACATAGCATTTAAACACCTGTCACCCCTGAGGCACTATATACAGTGCTGGAGCAGGGTCAGAATACCCACTAAGGAAATGCCACCTGGAAAAGCGGAGAACATGAGAGCCACAGTCTCCAATCTATAGCATTTCTGAAGTCCTGCAGGTCAGGCTCCATGAAGTTTCCCTGCCTTGCAGTGAAGAGAATTCCTTGAGTGGACACTGACTCCAGGCTGGATGAGGCTTTTTGTCTTTGATTCCCATTGGCCTCCTCTGAAGTGAGCATTGAGATTCTCACCCTGTAGACCAGTGTAGCCTTTGCAACCTGTCTCCTGGTCATCAGACTTGGATGCTCAAGGGAAGTGGCTTCTCTTTCCTTTTGTGTCCCAGTAGCAATATCTAAAATTCTTCTTCTTTTTTTTTTTTTGACACGGAGTCTTGCTCTGTTACCCAGAGGAGTGCAATGGGATGATCTCGGCTCACTACAACCTCCACCTCCTGGGTTCAAGTGATTCTCCTGCCACAGCCTCCTGAGTAGCTGGGATTACAGGTGCCTACCACCATGCCCGGCTAATTTTTGTGTTTTTTAGTAGGGACAGGGTTTCACCATGTTGGTCAAGCTGGTGTCGAACTCCTAACCTCAGGTGATCCACCTGCTTTGGCCTTCCAAAGTGCTGTGATTAGAGGCGTGAGCCACTGTGCCCGACCAACAACATCTAAAATTCTTTTCTAGACATATTTCTCATCTTGACATTCTTCCTTTGCCCCTTCACCCCTGTGCCTCTCTGTTTCACCTAAAGGGCATCTTCCTTGAAGCATTTTGTAAAAGTAAGTGTGAGACATCACACTCTTTTTAAAATAATTTTTAATTTTTTTTTAAAGATGGGGTTTCGCTATGTTGCCCAGGCTGGAGCACAGTGGCTATTCACAGGCTCGATCCCACTACTGATCAGCACGGAAGTTTTGACCTTCTCCGTTTCCGACCTGGGCTGGTTCACTCCTCCTTAGGCAACCTGATGGTCCCCTGCTCCCAGGAGGTCACCATATTGTTGCCTAACTTAGTGCGGACATTCGATTGGCATAGCGCACTGTAGTCCAGTACTCCTGGGCTCAAGCAATCCTCCCACGTCAGCCTCCTAGGTAGCTGGGACTACAGGCATGTGCCAACGCACCTGTCGAGAGATCACACTCTTAATGTGACCATGTTAGTCTAGTTTCTCCGAGGAGCAGAGACAGGATGGGATCAATCATGCAAAGGTTTTGTTAAGAGAAATGCCTAGGAGTGAAGAAGGGTAAAGAGCTGGAGGAGGCTGAGTCATTGCAAGCTGACCTTGAGTGAAGGAGAGGGCAAGGGACAGTGGGCGGAGGTGTTCTAGGCAGCTGTGCAGTCCAGGGAACAGTTCTTTGGCAAGAAGGTGGTTGTTTCCTGGGAATGAGCCTGGTTTCCTCAATAAAAGGCTAACAGCAGCCTCTGGGAAGAAAGGCCTTAAGCAAACAAGGGCACAGGAACTGTGGGGCTTGGTCAGTGATGCTCCCTGTGGTTGAAGGTGGACAGAGCACATCCTCATGGCCACCACAAGAACTTCACAGAGCCTGACCTGCAGGTGCTGTATGCTCTTCGTCACTTTATTCACCTTAGAAGTTTTCCTACGCTCTGTCATGCAGAACCTTTAAAAATTCTATCTCTTGCAACGTGGTATATGATGAGATGCTTTTTCCAATCCTGTAACATCCCAAATTTCTGCATTTGCTCTATTCCCTTTCATTTCAGCTTGCAAAGCACTCAGTTCTTTCTTGAATTCATTTCTTTCTTTTAACATCTTGCCAAACACAGTCCTTAGCAACCAACACTTATTCCTAGTGTTCTGTTTTTCAACCTCCTCCCTTAGAATGAAAAGTTCAGAAAGCATGGGGTCTGCCTTTGAAGTTACAGTGTCTAGATCTCTAGGCTGTTCAACATCACTCACCACCCAACTGCTAAAGCAGTGACACAGAGTTTATACTTCTGTTTCAGCAGCACTCTGCTTTTGGGATACATTTTCATTTTAGTCATGTAATCAGTGGAATCTATTGCAATAGGCAAACTGAGAAATCTCAGTGGCTGAATATAGCACAAGTTTATTTATTGCTAATGTTGCAGTCTGATGTGGGCCAGGGTGGCTCAGGGCCCCAGGCTGCTTCATCTTACTCCCCCACCTGATTCCTTGTTTCTAGCCAGTGGACATGAGGGAGAGAGTGCAGAGGAGGGCCACCATCTCTTAACTGCTTTGGCCCAGGAGTGACACAAGTCTTTTCCTTCAGAGAGTGCTGCAGTGTCCCTTGATGTTCTTATATTTAAGTCCAAAGCTTGCACTGCTTACTACACAACAGCCAATAAGTTGAGAGACAAGGTGTTGGGGCAAGGAAAGTGACTTCATTTCCAAGACCCAGCAAACTGAGAAGATGGCAACTGGTGTTCTAAAGAGCCTCCTATGCAAATATGAATTTTGGGTTTCTTTTATGTTAAGGGAAGGAGGAAGAGGGAGGGATTGAAGTTGAAGGGTGACTAATGACTATGGGCATCTAGGCGGCAGTGAGGGTAAACTTCTTTATCCTTGGTCAGGTCACAGTGCTTTTATACATTTTTAACATAACATTGTTATTGTGTGTACACCCTATTTGTCTCCTGGGGGGTTAGTTTTGGGAGGGCCTATTAGCCTTGTTTTAAAGTTAAACTATAAACTAAATTCCTCCCATTGTTAGCTCGGCCTGTATGCAGAGGTAAGCAAAAGCAGTTAACCTAAAAAATATCACCATGAGGGCGGTGGGGGAAGTAAATTGGAGCTAGTCATGGTCGGCTTCCTTTTCACCGTTGCATTCTCTCTGCTGGAGACTGAAGGAGAGCTTGGCCTTGGACGTCTGCCCCTGCAGGCTGGTGTGGCTGCTGTGTTTCCCCCTAGAGAAATAGGGAGTGGGAGATGGTTGTGAACCTGCACCCAGGCCAGGGTCTCTCTGGAATTCTTTTTGTAGATGACAACGTTCTGTAGAGTGATGTGATGGTTGTATACCACTGGGCAGCTTAGGTCATTCCTTACTGATTGGAAATCAGACCTATTTCTTCCTTCTTTGTTTCTCCTTCTATTGTGAAGCAGCGAGTAACAAGCACATCCAGTGGCTCCTAGGGGAAGATGGTGAGGTCTGGGTCTGGATCATGGGAGAAGGCCCTGGTGACAAGCCCTACGAAGAGATCTCTGAGGAGCTGATTGCAGAGAGGGCACGGCTGCAGGCACAGAAGGAGGCTGAGGAGCTTTGGTGAGGGGTGCTATGGGGTGTTGGGTGGGGTCTGGGCATGGAATCCTGGAGTGGGGCCAAGCTAAGGACAGTAGGGTGTGGGTGGGAGGAAGGAGGCCCAGTCAGGCTACCTGGCTGTTTTGAGCTCTGCTAAGATCAGGTGACCAAAGCATCAGAGTCTTATATCAGGAAACCTCGTGGGCTTAAATCCTGGCTCCACCAATTAGTAGTTGGCTGATCCAGGGCCTCAGTTAACACATCTGCGATGTGGGAATAACACCCTGCTTCCCATATGGACAGAGTTTGGATTTGCTGAGACAACACATCCACAAGCTTTTGTTTGTTATCTCACTGAGTTCTCATGGGAATGGCACCGCAGTTTGCATTCATGTTTGTTATCTACTTGTTCCTCTTCGTGTAACCCGTCTTTATCACACAGGAGGAGCAACTGAACCCCAGTGACGTTTGGAGTCAGACTCCTTTCATAAACAACTTTAAGATTTTGTCACTCAACTTGGATATCCATGTGAAATTGACTTCAACATTTTTTTTTTTTCGGAGATGGAGTTTTGATCTTGTTGCCCAGGCTGGAGCGTAGTAGTGTGATCTCGGCTCACTGCAACCTCGACCTCCTGTGTTCAAGCAATTCTCCTGCCTCAGCCTCCTGAGTAGCTGGGATTGCAGGGGTGCCACCACCGTGCATGGCTATTTTTTGTATTTTTAGTAGAGATGGGGTTTCATCATTTTGGCCAGGCTGGTCTCAAACTCGTGACCTCAGGTGATCCACCTGCCTTGGCTTCCCAAAGTGTTGGGATTACAGGCGTGAGCCACCACGCTGGCCTTAATTGATGGCATTTTAACTGAAAAATTCTAAAATCATGTAAACAACACTGAAATAAAATAAAGAACAATTCATACCCACCACCTAAGATAACCATAGTGAATGCTTAGGTAATACATGCTTTGTAAATTGTTTTATTCACACCTTGAAAAATTGACTAATGTAGATCCAAAATGCTACTTAAGATTGCTATATGGTACAGGCATTTATTATATGATATAGGAAACCCAACTTATTGGTCTTATTGATGGACATTTGAGTTTTTTTTTAATATTATAAAAAATCCTCTGACAAGCATCTTTTACATGCATTTTTGTTTTATTTACTTACAAATTTATTATTTACTCATTTTTTTTGTTTTGTTTTGTTTCTTTTTGAGACAGGGCCTCACTCTGTTTCCCAGGCTAGAGTGCAGTGTCATAATCAAGGCTCACTGCAGCCTTGATCTCCTGGGCTCAAGTGATCCTCCTGCCTCAGCTTCCTGAGTATCTGGGACTACAGATGCATGCCACCAGACATGACTATTTTTAAAAAAATCTTTAGTAGAGATGATGTCTCACTATGTTGCCTAGGCTGGTCTTGAACTCCTGGCCTCAAGCAATCCTCCTGCTACTGCCTCCCAAAATGCTGGGATTATAGGCATGCACCACCATGCCTGACCTACATGCATTCTTGTACACTTGAGTGAGTGTTCAAAATCTAGGAAATGGGATTTCCTAGCCTAATTTTCCTGGCTTCTAGAAGAATTATGCAAATTTACACTCCCATGCAGGAGAATGCCTGTTTCTTTCTGTCTTTGCCAACACTGAATTCTGATAGACCAAGGAAAAAATGCTCATTGTTTTTATTTCAAGTTCTGTTGCTATGTGGTCCTTCAGTTTTTCACACAAGCTTATACCTGTGGCGCTCTCTTGGTAGGAGACAGAAGGAGGCAGAGATCACCAAGAAGTTCCGGGATGCTCTGGCCAATGAGAAAGCCCGGATCCTGGCGGAGAAGTGGAAAGTGGAGATGGAAGACCGCAAGGCTGCCAAAGTCCTGGAGGAACGCATCCACGAGGAGTTCAAGGTGGGCCAGTGCATAGGGCCCTTGTGTGTGGCCACCTGCTTAGCCCCTGAGGCCTCTGAGGTTGGCCTCTGGTTTGGATCAGTCCTTGGCCATTGATTAGTACTGGGTGCTTTATGAGAACAGAAATCAGCCATGTCTGAGCAGGAAGGACCTTGACACACCATTTGGGCCAATCCACTTCTGATTTTACAGATGAGGAAACAGGGTCGGACAGAAGAGACTTGGCCAAGGCCACATGTAGTAGAGGTTGGGGATAGAGTCAGGATCAGAATCCGGGTCTTTTGCATCCCAATCCACTGGTGCAGAAATGAGGCCTAGAGCATTCCTTGTTTGTAATATTCAGGTAATAATAATGCTTTACTAGAAATTTTTATGAGGATTCAAAGAGACGACATGTTCACATTTTTCTGGTGTAGGATAGGGTTATTGGTCTGTTGACAGGTGCTGGTTAGAGCAAAGAGTTTTTTCTGGTAATACTGAGTTTCTGTTTGTTTGTTTTTTGAGACAGGGTCTTGCTCTGTCACCAGGCTGGAGTGCAGTGGCACGATCTCAGCTCACTGCAACCTCTACCTCTCAGGTTCAAGCAATTCTTCTGCCTCAGCCTTCCAAGTAGCTGGGACTACAGGCGCACGCCACCACGCCTAACTAATTTTTTTTTGTATTTTTAGTAGAGATGAGGTTTCACCATATTGGCCAGAATGGTCTCGATCTCTTGACCTGGTGATCCGCCCGTCTTGGCCTTCCAAAGTGCTGGCATTACAGGTGTGAGCCACCGCACCAGGCCAACATTGAGCTTTTTAATGGAAGTCTAGAGTCATCCTAGAGACAGACCTTATGCTGCTAGAAGCCATGGCCAGAGTTTGGCAGAGTTGTTAAGTATGTGCAGAGTCTTGCAGTTGTCAGTACACTCATGACATTTTTCCCATTTAAAAATTTTTAGGCTGGGCGTGGTGACTCATGCCTGTAATCCCAGCACTTTGGGAGGCTGAGGTGGGCGGATCACGAGGTCAAGAGATGGAGACCATCCTGGTTAACATGGTGCAACCCCGTCTCTACTAAAAATACAAAATAATTAGCTGGGCGTGGTGGTATGAGCCTGTAGTCCCAGCTACTCGGGAGGCTGAGGCAGGAGAATTGCTTAAACCAGGGAGGTGGAGGTGGCAGTGAGCCGAGGTCGCGCCACTGCACTCCAGCCTGGCGCCTGGTGACGGAGTGAGACTGTATAAAAAACAAAAACAAAACCAAAAAATTTTTAAAATTTGTTTTGCCCCATAATAATTAGATAGTGAGGACACTGGCCTTTTCAAATCATGTATGTTGCAAATTTTCTTTCTTTTTTTTTTTTTTTGAGACGGAGTTTTGCTAGTTACCCAGGCTGGAAGTCCAATGGCACGATCTCGGCTCACCGCAACCTCCGCCTCCTGGCTTCATGCAATTCTCCTGCCTCAGCCTCCTGAGTAGCTGGGATTACAGGCACGTGCCACCATGCCCAGCTAATTTTTTGTCTTTTTAGTAGAGACGGGGTTTCACCATTTTGACCAGGATGGTCTCGATCTCTTGACCTTGTAATCCACCCGCCTCGGCCTCTCAAAGTGCTGGGATTACAGGCTTGAGCCACTGCGCCCGGCCTGTTGCAAATATTTTTATCAGTGTTGTTGAATTTTCTTAATTTTGGTTTCAGTATTTTCAGATGTACATAGGATTAAACTTTCAATTAGCAAAATCTATCAGTCTTTTTTTTATTTGCTTCATGCTTAGAAGGATCTGTGATATCACAAGTTTATAAGAATCTGCATTTTTAAAAAATATATATGTGCAAGAGTTGACATTAAAAAAAAAGAAAATGCATTGTTTATATGTCATTTCTGATTTTATTTCTGTCCAACTAGTTTTCCTTCACTTTGGAGGGTGGTGTAATATAGGGCTCTTACTTTATTTTCTTCCAAATGGTGAGCCAGTAGTCCCCATATTATTTATTATGTAATCTGTCTTTTCCCTTCTCATTTGACTGGCTGCCTTGATTGGATTCTTACTTTTTACTTACTTGTGGGCTTTTTTGTGGATTTTTCTTTTCTGATTTATTATTCCTGAGCCAGACTTAATTGTTTAATTATTGTAGCTTTAAAATAAATTTTAACGTCTGTTAAGGTAAGAACCCTACCATTACTCTTCATTTCCAAAATGTCCTTCGCTAATCTCACCCATTTTCTTTTTTCTGCCAGGGAAACTTGAATTATTCTGTCATTATCTCCTCTCTCTTAACAACAAAGACCTCAGTGATTTTCATTAGAATTGCATCAATTTATAGCTGTCTTTGTGAAAAACAGACATTTTTACAACGTTGAATCATTGAATCTTCTTGTTCAGAAATCTGGTATGTTATTCAAAGCTTTTTTTGGTCTTTACTAATTTTTTAAAGCACCTTTAAAGGTACTGACCACCTAATCCCAAACTTTCTCAAAAACTTTTATCTATATGCCTATATACTTCTCATTTTTTGGACCTTGGTAAAATTTGTTTTCTTTAAATGCTCCACATTTCCTTTTTTCTTTTTCTTTGAGACAGGCTCATGTTCTGTTGCTTAGGCTGGAGTACAGTGGCACAATCTTGGCCCACTGCAACCCCGGTCTCCTGGGCTCAAATGATCCTCCCACCTCAGCCTCCAAGTAGCTGGGACTGCAGGCGTGCGTCACCACACCCAGCTAATTTTTGTATTTTTTGTAGAGACAGGATTTCACCATGTTGCCCAGCTAGTCTTGAACTCCTGAGCTCAAGCCAACCACCTGCCTTGGCCTCCCAAAGTGCTGGGATTACAGGTGTGAGCCACCACGCCTGGCCACACATTTCTTTTTCAGTTAAACCTTAGATTTAGTATTTGTTGTTGCTATTGTGAATAAGATTGTACCCATTATTTTTAAACCTATTGCATTTGCTAGTTAGTTATTTGGCTTGTTATTGATCTCGTTATTTAATTTTTCCATGAGTTATAAATATTTTTAGCAGATTCTCCTAAATTTTATCTATCTATCTATCTATCTATCTATCTATCTATCTATCTATCTATCATCTATCTATCTATCTATCTATCTATTTATTTAAGACAGACTTTCTCTCTTGTCGCCCAGGCTGGAATGCAGTGTCACAATCTTGGCTCACTGCAACCTCCACCTCCTAGGTTCAAGCGATTCTCTTGCCTCAGCCTCCCAAGTAGCTGGGATTACAGGCAACTGCCACCACACCCAGCTAATTTTTGTATCTTTAGTAGAGATGGGATTTCACCATGTTGGTTGGGCTGGTCTTGAACTTCTGATCTCAGGTGATCCACCCTCCTTTGCCTCCCAAAGTGCTGGGATTACAGGCATGAGTCACCACGCCTGGCCTCTCCTGAGATTTTAAAGGAGCAATATTTACCTTCCACACATTTTATTTTTTTTAAATTTCAAACATGAAGAAAAGTTGAAAAAATAAAATGAATACTCATATATTCTCCATCTAAATTCACCAATTATTAACATTTTACCACATTTGTCTTCTCTCTCTGGCAAATGTGGTAAAATGTTAACCATTGGTGAATTTAAATGGAGAATATTTATATACTCATTCACACTTGCATACACTTCGTTGTTGCTATTGTTTTACTAAACAAGTTTAAAGGAAGTCATGGATGACTGTACTGTAACCCAGGGGTTGGCAAACTATTTTCTGTAAAGGGCCAGATAGTAAATATTTTAGGCTTTGGGAGCCAGCTCTCTCTGTCACACAACTACTCAACTCTGCTATTGTAGCACAATAGCAGCTACCAACAATATAGAAACAAATGGATGTGGGCTGGGCATTGTGGCTCATGCCTGTAATCCCAGCACTTTGGGAGGCTGAGGTGGGTGGATCACTTGAGATCAGGAGTTTGAGACCAGCCTGGCCAGCATGGTGAAACCCCGTCACTACTAAAATAGGAAAATTAGCTGGGTGTGCTTCTGCACACCTGTAATCCCAGCTACTTGGGAGGCTGAGGCAGGAGAATGGCTTGAACCTGGGAGGCGGAGGTTGCAGTGCCGCTGTGCTTCAGCCTGGGCAACAGAGCAAGACTCTGCCTCAAAAAAAAAAAAGCAACAAATGAATATGGCTGTGTTCCAGTAAGACACTAAAGGTTTTAAAAATAGGCCTGGAGTGGTGGCTAATGCCTGTAATCCCAGCAATTTGGGAGGCCAAGGCAGGTGGATCACCTGAGGTCAAGAGTTTGACACCAGCCTGGCCAAAATGGGGAAATGCCATCTCTACTTAAAAAATACAAAAATTAGCTGGGCGTGGTGGTACATGCCTGTAATTCCAGCTATTCAGGAGGCTGAGGCAGGAGAATGGCTTGAACCCAAGAGTTGGAGGTTGCAGCAAGCGGAGCTCAGGCCATTGCACTCCTGGGAGCCTTGGTTTGCAGCTTCCTGATCAAAACCTAAGAAATTCAGCATGTATCTCCTATGAAGAAGGGCATTTCCCTTCACAGCCACTAAAGTCACTATCATATCTATTGAAATGAACAATAATTCCATAATAGTATTTCAAATCCAACCCACAGTGGAGAGATACTTAGTGTATGTTGCTGGATTTTGCATATGATTATTTAAGTCTTCTGAGGGAGAAAACCAATTGTTTTTATCTCTTTCTAACCGAGAGAGCACCTGTTCTAATATTCTGGCCTTCCTCTTTCCCAGATAGAGGCTGAGCCCCAGATACTGGAAGAGTGGCTCTGTGGAGCTGGAGTGCTGGGGCTGAGCTCACAAGGAGATCATGAAGGGATTAAGGTCCCAGTGGAGATTTTCTGGTCAATGGTCTCCTTGAGAACCTCAGTGATAGAGTGGGTGAGAAATTGTGGGATTTTCCTTGATGGGGCTCAGGGAAGAGCATTAGGGCCATCTGGCCAGACTCAGTTCGCTGAGGGCCTCAACCACAGGCTGTGGATGTTATTGCCATGGCAGGTTATGATTATTATGTGTTTGTTTTGGTTC